TGAACTTGTATAGTAGGTGTTTTCAATGAGTAACAAGACTGTAGTGTTCGAGCCAATTTCTATAAAGTAATGGTGAAGCAGCTTTCGAAAAACCCTTTTTGTACATTTGAACTTAGCTACACTGTAATACAGACATATCTATGCTGCCATCTTGATTTATTATCGTGAACTTAGATATGTCTGAATTACAGTTTAGCTACGCTGCCATCTTGATTTATTATCATGAACGTAGATATGTCTGAATTACAGTGTAGCTATGCTACCATCTTGATTTTTTATCATGAAGTTAGATATGTCTCAATAACAGAGTAGCTATGCTGCCATTTTGATTTATTATCATGAACGTAGATATGTTTGAATTACAGTGTAGCTATGCTGCCATGTTGATTTATTATTATGAACGTAGATATATCTGAATTACAGAGTAGCTATGCTGCTATCTTATCATGAACGTAGATATGTCTCAATTACAGTGTTGCTATGCTGCTATCTTGATTTATTATCGTGATCTTAAATATGTTTGAATTACAGTGTAGCTATGCTACCATCTGGATTTATTATCATGAACCAGTGAATGTAAAACAGTGTTATTTTAAGTATTCGTTATTTATAAGCATGAATCTTTTTATGATATTTCCATAATACTAAATCATTTTAAGACAATCGTTAATAAATATTGAAGATTTGATGTCAGATATCCTTCTCTATCAGTTTAGATATTAGTCTAGTCGTTGTGGTAAAGTGATTACGTAATTTACACCAGGTCACTTGGCTCTGAACCAGAAACCCTGTCTCATATATCCATTGACTTTTATCATATTCTGAGTTTACTTCTATCCTAATTAGTTAAAGAATCAGGATGTCCACCTATAAGTGCCCCAGAAAATGGAGAATTATCTGGATTTTGTTCGTCTGCTGTGACTGGAGACCGGTGTATGTTTTCTTGTCTAAAAGAATACCAACTAATAGGAGACCCAGAGTTGATCTGTCTGGAGTCTGGCAGTTGGTCTGGAACAACCCCTACTTGTAACAGTAAGCATGTGTTGTTTTTATTCATGTTGTTACTGTACTCTTTGGTAAGACGATACATTTATATAAGGTTAGTAGTTTGGCAAAGCTGGGATAGAACATCTATAACATGTATAGAAATATTCAGGACTACTTGGAAAGTTCTATTCTTACTAACATCACTGGCCTGCACCTACGGCCATTTTGTGATTTTGTGGCATCCTTAATGACATACTAAATCAATGTTATGTCGAACAATATTTATTTTAGGTTGTACTAGTACTAAAATCTAAAATGAAATATTTTTCTTATTCTATTGATTTCACAAATGTTTTCTACTCTAGTTTACTGGAGATCATACTATAACATTCAGCTTCAATGCTTTAAATGTGCAACAACCCACATCTCCCAGGTATTGCACAATTCTGTACGTAACATCTACAACCCTCTATAAAATAATTAAGACAATTTTCAGCGTATGTTATACAAAATTAATTGGATGCATATATAAAAACAAAATCTTTAACCATTATTATTTACGAAGAAACTCCAAATATTTATAATCTGTTATTATTCTCTTTTCAGTTCAACAGTCCTACTGCCCAACAATCACTGCTCCTGAAAATGGAGAAATAGCAGGACCGTGTATATCTGCAGTGACAGGAGATCGATGTGCATTCTCCTGTGTAGGAGACTATCAACTAGTGGGAGTTTCGGATTTGATCTGTTTGGATAGCGGAAGTTGGTCTGGAGAAAGTCCATCATGTGAACGTAAGTCCAATTTTTCACACCTTTAATGACTTCTTTGCTACATTATTATGTTTGTTTCAACTTAAACCACAAACGATTGACAACATGTATCCAACGTTGATGTGTCTAGGGATGTATTAGGTCAATGTAATTAGTCATGAGTTTACCAATCTGTGTTACACTAGTAGCCACCCTCATGGTACAGTGTAATGTACTCTATAGGGTTAGACCAATTAAATATTTTCAACCGAACAAGAGTAAACACATTTATTGTAATAACAATAAATCAAAACGATGTAAAAGTTGAGTACATTCAGATATTATTAAAAGTTTAAAATATATGTATACGACTTTACTAAGTTAATCTTTTGTGTCGTCTGATTTCACTAAACTTTCACCTAAATAAATTTACTTTCAAAGAGAACTGGAGGTCGAGTAAAAAGGCAGATTGTGAATATGAATTTATTTGTGTCGTATAAACCTAAAGTTTGAAAAAACAATAGCGCCTGAACAATATCAAAATAAACGATTCGTTCATCAGTAAAACGTCTGACAAAGTTTGTTAGAATAAACAAAAGGGTTATAAAGACAAAACAAAACATATTTCTGATGACCTAAGTGCTTTCTTTGCTCCGAGAAAGGACTCTACAAAACGATTATATATTAAAATAAATCAAAACTAGAAACATGTTACTTCTGATAAAAGGTTTAGGATAATTAGGGATGTTTTGTAAATACATCAAAAATAGAAACATGTTACTTTGATAAAATGTTTAGGATAATTAGGGAAGTATTCTTAGAAGTTCCAGATCTGTTTTCTGGTACGGTTTAACAACATACTTGGTATCCTTTTATGATCTATTCTTCCAACACGTACCAACACTTAGTTATTAGAAATATTTCTCAACCAGTTAGTTGTAATATCTCAAGCTCATTTTAATATCAGTTCTTAACTAGTATACAAAGTTATTTCCCTTTGGTTTCTTGTTGTTGTTTTTTTATATATATTCGCACGAGGCTACTCACGGGCTACCTGTGCTGGCCTTCTCCATTTTTTAATTCAAAGAGAAGAGGGAAGGCAGCTAGCCAATAGTAGTCATCAATAACTCTTTGGCTACTCTTGTCAGAAATATTCTGGGATATGACCGTCACCTTAATAACGCACCGATGTCACCAAAGTACAGAGTGCAATTTTCTTTTCTTTCAGTCACGAGATGCGAACCTTGGACATGTAGAATCATAGTCAACCACACTAACCAGCTCTGCTCTTCCATGAAAGGGTTTCTTAGAGATCGGTGTTATGTTGATTAGATGTTACTGTTCTTTAGACGTGGTGGTCTTAGAAAAACCTGGTCCTCAGCTCAAAAGTTCTGATATGACCAGTCTTCGAACCTCCATCGTGATCAGTACAAGTATCTATTGCTTACGGAGATGACCTAGAGATTAGCTGTACAAGACAAAATAAAGATTACAGCCCAATTCCTGACCGAAAATGTAACTCAAACATCAATGAACACTTTGGAATATATTATACAACAGCTTACTGGGATCAGCACATATGGATTTATCTTTTACAGCAACAAAAGATAAATAACTAGCAATAACAAGAATATATTGGAAAGATCCAAAGAACGTCAACAGGAAAGATCCAAAGAACGTCAACAGGAAAGATCCAGAGAACGTCGACAGGAAAGATACAAAGAACGTCAACAGGAAAGATACAAAGAACGTCGACAGTAAAGATCCAGAGAACGTCGACAGTAAAGATCCAGAGAACGTCGACAGGAAAGATCCAGAGAACGTCGACAGGAAAGATCCAGAGAACGTCGACAGGAAAGATCCAAAGAACGTCGACATGAAAGATCCAAAGAACGTCGACAGGAAAGATTCAAAGAACGTCAACAGGAAAGGTTCAAAGAACGTCAGCAGGAAAGATCCAAAGAACGTCGACAGGAAAGATCCAAAGAACGTCGACAGGAAAGATCCAAAGAACGTCGACAGGAAAGATCCAAAGAACGTCGACAGGAAAGATCCAGAGAACGTCGACAGGAAAGGTTCAAAGAACGTCAGCAGGAAAGATCCAAAGAACGTCGACAGGAAAGATCCAAAGAACGTCGACAGGAAAGGTTCAAAGAAGGTCGACAGGAAAGGTTCAAAGAACGTCGACAGGAAAGGTTCAAAGAACGTCAACAGGAAAGGTTCAAAGAACGTCAACAGGAAAGGTTCAAAGAACGTCAACAGGAAAGGTTTAAAGAACGTCAGCAGGAAAGGTTTAAGGAACGTCAACAGGAAAGGTTTAAGGAACGTCAACAGGAAAGGTTCAGTAGAACGTCAACAAAGGTTAATGCAGTTATTTGTTGTTAAGTACAAAGCTACTTAAATAGATATCTTCCCAGCTCGGGTATCGAAACCCGATTTTTAGAATTATAAGCCTACACACTTTCCGCTGAGCCACTTGTGGAGGGCCAGTAAGGTTTTTAATCAGTACACTACAACCTACAGTTAATAATAAACTTACCTGAACCAACAAGTACCTGACGTTATAAGTTGTTATTTAGCTTCCTTTAACACCAGTAATATGTATTTGTAAACTAGATTTATTAACATGTGTAACATATTCTGTTTTCAGTTCAACAATCCTACTGCCCAACAATCACTGCTCCTGAAAATGGAGAAATAGCAGGATCGTGTTCATCTGCAGTGACAGGAGATCGATGTGCATTCTCCTGTGTAGGAGACTACCAACTAGTGGGAGTTTCGGATTTGATCTGTTTGGATACCGGAAGTTGGTCTGGAGAAAGTCCATCATGTGAACGTAAGTCTAGTTTTTCACACCTTTAATGACTTCTTTGCTACATTATTATGTTTGTTTCAACTTAAACCACAAACGATTGACAACATGTATCCAACGTTGATGTGTCTAGGGATGTATTAGGTCAATGTAATTAGTCATGAGTTTACCAATCTGTGTTACACTAGTAGCCACCCTCATGGTACATTGTGTAATATAGTATTCGTGTTCAGAACAATCAAATCATTTCCATTTTAACAAGAATAAACAAATATGTTACACCAATGTTATATTACACCTAACAAATAACAACAAACCAAAATAGTATAAGACTCAATAGTATATGAGCCACTTTCTGGCTACTTTCAAATGCTTATAAAAAATTCAACAATCTGTTTACGACCATGTTAAGTTACATTTTTGCAATGTCTTTCTTCCAATTTTGCTAAAGCTCCATCTAATCAAAGAGAAATATGAATCGAATAAAAATATAATACTGTGAATCTATATATATATATATATATTGTGCCATATAAACATAAAGTTTAGAAAACAATGGTCTTTTAACAATCTGATAATAAACTATCATTCTGTGGAAGTAGCTTGGTTCACGTGACTTGTGTCGCTTTTTCACAGAGAGATCCTTCTTGGATATTTTGTGTACTGTTGTATGGAGCACGTGGACAGCTTCTACACTGTTCCTTGTAGATTCTCACCTGTTACAAGACGTCACACTTTGCTTAACACTGCTGGGCTATGACCTGTTCCAGGTCTCCTTCTGGATAGAACATCTATAACATGTATAATAATATTCATGACTACTTGGAAAGTTCTATACTTACCAACATCACTGGCCTGTACCTACGGCCATTTTGTGATTTTGTGGCATGTTTAATGACATACTAAATCAAAATTATGTAGAACAATATTTATTTTAGGTTGTACTAGAACTAAAATCGAAAATGAAATATTTTTCTTATTCTATTAATTTCACAAATGTTTTCTACTCTAGTTTACTGGAGATCTTACTTTAACATTCATCTTCAATGCTTTAAATGTGCAACAACCGACATCTCCCAGGTATTGCACAATTCTGTACGTAACATCTACAACCCTCTATATAATAATTAAGACAATTTTCAGCGTATGTTATACAGAATTAATTGGATGCATATATAAAAACAAAATCTTTAACCATTTTTGTTTACGAACAAACTCCAAATATTTATAATCTATTATAATTCTGTTTATAGTTCAACAGTCCTACTGCCCAACAATCACTGCTCCTGAAAATGGAGAAATAGCAGGATTGTGTTCATCTGCAGTAACAGGAGATCGATGTGCATTCTCCTGTGTAGGAGACTACCAATTAGTGGGAGTTTCGGATTTGACATGTTTGGACAACGGAAGTTGGTCTGGAGAAAGTCCATCATGTGAACGTAAGTCACGTGTTTCACACTCATTGTATAAATTTAAGTAAATAAATGAACTTGTATAGTAGGTGTTTTCATTGAGTAACAAGAATGTAGTGTTCGAGCCAATTTCTATAAAGTAATAGTGAAGCAGCTTTCGAAAAACCCTTTTTGTACATTTGAACTTAGCTACACTGTAATACAGACATATCTATGCTGCCATCTTGATTTATTATCATGAACTTAGATATGTGAGAATTACAGTGTAGCTATGCTGCCATCTTGATTTCATATCATGAACTTAGATATGTCTGAATTACAGTTTAGCTATGCTGCCATCTTGATTTATTATCATGAACTTAGATATGTCTGAAATACAGTGTAGCTATGCTGCCATCTTGATTTCATATCATGATCTTAGATATGTCTGAAATACAGTGTAGCTATGCTGCCATCTAGATTTATTATCATGATCTTAGATATGTCTGAATTACAGTGTAGATATGCTGCCATCTTGATTTTCTATCATAAACTTAGATATGTTTGAATTACAGTGTAGCTATGCTGCCATCTTGATTTACTATGATGAACTACATTGATGTGTCTAGGGGTGTATCAAGTCAATGTAATTGGTCATGAGTTTATCAATCTGTATTACATTAGTAGCCACCCTCATTTTACACCGTATAATGTAATTCTTTATGGTTAGACCAATTAAAACATTTCCAACTAAACAAGAGCGAACACAGTTATTTCAAAAACATTAAAAACAAGAAACCAAAACGATGTAACAGTTGAGTATGTACTTACATTCAGACATTATTAAAAATTTCAACTATCTGTTTACGATTTTACTAAATTAAATTTTTGTGTCGTCTTTTCTCAGAATTCACTAAAACGGTACCTAAATAAAGATGCTTTGAAAGAGAACTGTAGATTGAGTAAAATAAGCAGATTGTGAGTTTGTATTTATCTGAGCCATGTAAACAAGTTTGAAAAACAATGGTCTCTTAACAATCTAATAATGAAATATTATTTTGTGGAAACAGCTTGTGTACACGTGCCTTGTGTCGCTTTTTCATAGGGAGATCCTTGTTGATTTGTTTGTGTACTGTTGTGTATTCTTGCCTGTTACAAGATGCTACACTTTGCTCAACACTTCTGGATTACGACCTGTTGCAGGTCTCTTTCTGTATAGTCCTAGACACCAAGATGATCCATATTCTTTAGCTTTCTAATGTGATTAAGTGCGAGGGATATCTCCATATTCGAAACTCTAAATATCCGATGTGGACACATCTTTATGATCTCAGTGAATAAATATCTTGCGTTGAAAAGGGCTGTTACTTGTCCTTCCCAAAAGCAATGAATTTGTGATGTCATCACATTACCTACGAAATGCAAACTAATTTCAACTAGAGTTCTGAAACATGCAGCTAACTAATGTCCACTAGAGTTCTGAAACATGCAGCCAACTAATGTCAAATACAGTTCTGATATATACAGTTATAATGTCAAATACAGTTCTGATGTATACAGTTATAATGTCAAATACAGTTCTGATGTATACAGTTATAATGTCAAATACAGTTCTGATATATACAGCCAACTAATGTCCCCTAGAGTTCTGAAACATGCAGCCAACTAATGTCAAATACAGTTCTGATATATACAATTATAATGTCAAATACAGTTCTGATATATACAGTTATAATGTCAAATACAGTTCTGATGTATATAGTTATAATGTCAAATACAGTTCTGATATATACAGCCAACTAATGTCCCCTAGAGTTCTGAAACATGCAGCCAACTAATGTCAAATACAGTTCTGATATATACAGTTATAATGTCAAATACAGTTCTGATATATACAGCCAACTAATGTCAGATAGAGTTCTGATATATACAGCCAACTAATGTCAAATACAGTTCTGATATATACAGTTATAATGTCAAATACAGTTCTGATATATACAGCCAACTAATGTTCCCTAGAGTTCTGAAACATGCAGCCAACTAATGTCAAATACAGTTCTGATATATACAGCCAACTAATGTCAAATACAGTTCTGATATATACAGCCAACTAATGTCAGATAGAGTTCTGATATATACAGCTCCTTCTAGACTCTCTATCGGCTGTGTAAATATTCTGACTAATTTACATAATAAGATTATTTCAATTTAACTCAACCCTTTGTATAATAATTAAGACAAATTTCTATGTATTTTACGGAAAGATAATTAGATGCATATAAACAAAGAACAAAAAACCTTTAACTGTTATCATTTCCTTACCAGTTCCAAATGTTTCCACATTATTATTATTACTCTGTTTCAGTTCAACAGTCCTACTGCCCAACAATCACTGCTCCTGAAAATGGAGAAATAGCAGGATCATGTACATCTGCAGTAACAGGAGATCGATGTGCATTCTTTTGTGTAGGAGACTACCAACTAGTGGGAATTTCGGATTTGACCTGTTTGGACACCGGAAGTTGGTCTGGAGAAAGCCCGTCATGTGAACGTAAGTCCAGTTTTTCACACCTTCAGTAACTTCTTTGCAAAACGGAGTAAAATGTGAGTGTGAAAACCCTTTCTCATCTACCTTCAGATACTACTAGATATTCAACCAAGTGTTTACTAAGTTTACTAAGTTAAAGTTTGAAGTTGTATTTCTTTCAAGTTAATTTCAGAAAAGTCTTATTAAAGGTTGCAGATGGCACCTTTTGTTTTTTATGCGTTATTGATAAAAGTTTCGAAACACTTGACCTTGAACAAACCCCCAGTGGCATTATGACACGGAGACCAACAACATCTCATACCAGTAACAATAAATTCTTATATTTCTCTATTTCTGATATGTTTGCCCGTCGGTGTAAATCTGAATCTCCTGGTTTATGTACATCCTGCATCGTGTGTTTATTCACGTTGTTTGTCCGCAATATCCTCCCACAGTTATGAAATAAGCAGGACCAAACCTAGCAAACGGACTCGTGGTGACCTGGGGTGTCTGTATTTATATGGCATAGTCCACCTACTAACGGGTAACAGGGTTGCTAAAACACACCTGTAGGGTCACTCAGGTATGATGGGGTTCTATAAGTAGGTTTTCATGGTCGCTGAACCAGTAACTGACACCGGATTTGCTGTTCCGTGCCCCCGCAGGATCCAGGGGGGGGGCCCATGTTTGAAACTGTGTTCTTACTCTCGTTCTCAAATATGCAGGACACAACTGTGACACAATTTCTGGGGTAATACGTGTCCTAATGGAGTTTGGTTTTTACGAGGACCCTCTCCCCCTGTGGTAGTTAGTAATTGGCGAGGGGGGAGCAACATTGTTACATTAGGGCATGGAAGACAATATTGCCTAAAGAGGATGGCTAATCCTAATTAAAAAGTAATACGATACAACTTAATAAGTACTGAACACTACAATCGAAGAAAAACCTAACTTGGTCCAGCTTCAACATACATTTCCACCTTTATTACGTAAAACTATATCGTATTGAAAGTTTCTAGCATAGTTGTAACGAGAGGTCAGCTTTAACACTCATAATGATAACCCTAAACACGTGTTGTCAGTAGTGATAAACCTAAACACGTGTGTGTCCGTGTTACACAATTTCTTGGAAAAAAAGTCCTCAAGTCAAAAAATAAATAACTATGTTAACACTTGGCTCTTTAACCTTTAACCTGTTCTACACCAGTACATTGCTCCTTAGTTCAATATCAATACATCTTTTTGGAATCAGATGTGACTTAGAGCGAAACTACAAGCAACCTGGAAATCAGTATAGTTAATTAAATATACGTTTCTGTTATAAATATTATAATGTATTATTTCATCAGTAGAGTACCCTCCCTGTTAACGTCATTTTCGGCCATAAACCCAATAATGTCTCACCAGGTTCGGTCAGCTAAGAGATGTAAGTTAGGGCTAAATACAAATTCTAAGCTAAAATACAAAACAATCTTTATAGTAAAAGTATAACAATAAAGGAACAATGAAAATAAAAACCAATTATATTCGATATAATAATGAGAAGGGATGTGTAACACAGCTAAATATGTGCAAATTATATAAAGTGAATTTTTTCAATTAATTCTGATCATCTGTCCATCTGTGAGCCATAATGGAAAACATATTCTATAGAGTAGAATGTACTTTCATTTCTACTACACTCATCAGTAAGTCTGAAACCATATAACGCTGAAATTCGGGCTTCGATACTCGTGGAGGCGTAGCTCAGATAACCCATTGTGTAGCTTTGTGCTTAACTACAAACAAACAACACTTCGAAACTAAAACATTGCAGTTAATAGTGAAGTACCACAATGTTCAATAAACTAAAACAGTATCACCTATTACTCATGTACAGTATTCCCTCGCTATTCGCGGGGGGCAAAGAACGAAAACCCCGCGAATAGCGA